ACCCGCGATACATTCTCCACAATAAGCGTGCTTGCAGGACAGTACACACATCTTGACCTTTTCTCCCGCCTCCATACATGACACACAGTCCGCCTGTCTTGCCTTCTTCTCCTTTTCAGCTAGCTCACGTGCTTTTTTTGCATCTGCGACCCGCTGTTTTTCCTTGTCAGCTAACTCACGCGCTTTCTTAGCATCGGCAACGCGCAACTTTTCTTTTTTCTGGGCTTCTAGGTGGATTTTCTTTGCAGCCTCCTCATTTGCTCGGTGCTCTCGGTCGAATTTAGCGTTCTTCTCAACTTGTTGTCGTTGCAATCGCTCTGTCTCAAGTCTCACTTTCTTTTCGGCCTCCTTGCGAGCTGCTCTCTCTTTCTCCAATTCAGCCTTCCGCTCTGCCTCAGCAGCCTCTCTTGCCTCTCTTCTTCTCCTTGCCTGCCTCTCCCTTTTCTCCTCATCCTCTGACACTCTTCTGGTCTGCTCCTCTTGTTGATGGACTTCTTGTTCCCACTGAGCTTGAGCGGCCTGCGCTGCAGCTAAGTCTCTTCCAAGCGAAGCGGCCCTTTCTTCATCTCTTCGAAGCAATATCCTCGCCAGATCCTCCTGCTCACCAAGTCTCCTTTCTTGCTCTTCCCATTCTCGTTGCAAAGCAGCAGCATGACTATCCTCATTCTCCCACTCGGTAGCAATTCTGATAGCTTCTTCCGTTTCTCTCTCAAGACGTGCGGCCCGTCTTGCGTCAGAAGCAGCTTGCTCTTCTTCAATTTGAGCCTGCAATCTTTGCGCTTCTAGTCTATCGAGTTCAAACTGAGATGGCGAGGGGCTTCGAGTCTCCAGATTGCGTGCAAATCGTAGCTGTAACTGAAGGAGATCATCTTCGCGATCCCATTCAGCTTGAAGTCTCTGGGCCGTAAGTTCATCAGACGTTAAAGTCGAGTTGGAACTGGAAGAACCACTTGAGATGAGTTTTGACCGTGAGGTACGTGGGCGAGATGAAGACGCTCTGCCCTTCTGGACTGCAGATTGAGGCTCCATTCGAGATTTTGGCTTGGACTTAATCTCGGGCTTTTTCTCAGATGAAGTGTGAGATCGAGACCTAGATGGGGACTGGGATCGCGATTTTGACCCCGCCGGTGGGATTGAAGGTGGCAAAAGATGCTTCAGATAGCTTTTCATATTCTCAGAAACTTGCTCAGTGATTGGGTTGAAGTAGTCAAGGTCTATAGATCTGTCGGTATCGTAGAGCAAATTCGTATTCACAATGTTGAGTTCTTTGGTTCCGTTCAAGGGGTGTTGATCTCCAGATCCATGAGAAGAAGGCGACGAATAATCGTTAGATGGTACTGCCGTGTCAGGAAATATCCATTTTCCAATTGAATTGTTGATTTACAGCTCCTCGTTTTCGAATTCGCGCTTCTGTACCGATGTTCTGTTATCAACCGGATCCAAATGCAGGCCAGCTGCAAGTTTGCTTTCTCCAAACAGGTCCTGACCGGCAGTTCCTGGATCGAATTCTTCACCACGACTCACCCGCTTGTTGAGAAGTGGTGATTATTCTCTTCTACCAGCCTAACAGAAGCTCTCTACCGCACCAATTCTTTCTTCTTTTCTTCGTTGTCTTCTCGAAATTCTGAACAGTTTCGATGTCGTTTGTCTTGACGAGGAAATCCAGCCTCTAGTAATGAATGTTCTTGGTGAAGTGTGATAAGATAAGAATTGAGAACGCAATGAAGAACGACTATTAGGTGTGGAGTGGAGAAATTAGGATTTATGGATAAAGCACATTTTCACAAATTCGATCGAAATTATAAAACCGGTCTGGAGAGTGGAGAGGCTATCTCGTGGGTGCAGCGAGGCGAGTGTGGAAACCTGTTGTACATGATCTAGAGGAGACAGCAATGCAGCGTTCTGTAGATATGATTGGTTGAGACCGACGAATCGGTGTGGACTGACATGGCAGAACCAACAAGGAAGAACATGTGATCTCCACATCGGGCTGGCCCGAATTGACAACAAATCATTTTATGGGGCTTATAGTGGATCCTTGAGGGCTAGAAGCCTCAGAAATTGATGGCGCGTGGGAATTGGCGAGGCTGGTATCTGCAAGAAAGTTGACAAATCAATCCATCGTTTCTCCAGATAAGGAGAACACTTGGACTGAGTCATAATTTTTTCGTTTGGGATTGAATTGCACGCGTGGTGCTTGCTGGAAAATACACACTCGAGATTCTACAGAGTTCGTGCTTGAGATTGGCATTCTCCACAAAACCAGGGGGGTTCGCTTCTGGGCTTAGCGTTAATTAAACCTTGGCAAGGAACAGCTACATCACATGATTAAAACTCTTAGAAATTGCTAAACTGGTATATACAAAAATCAAATCATGCCCTGTATCTTCTTACGACCAGGCCATCTTTGCCATTAACAGATCCCGCGTCTGTGGTGCTGTTATTGTCCAACTTTTTGTTGGCGATTGTGATATATAACCAAGCAAAAGCCATTAAAGCAAGAGCCACCAGAGTCATAATAAGGGAATCAGTCATTCCTTCATTATAATGCGGTGCTTGGCTAGTCCTGAACAACCATGAACTAGCAAATCCACCGGCGTTTCCAATACCAATTACGAACCCTGCTGCAATGGCCCTCTGGTAAGGAGTAGCCGAGTTGATCATTGGCAAGCTGTATAGGAGAGGTAATGATACAAAGGTGCCTATGCTAACGAAGTACAGACCAAGCATGGAGATATGTGGCGCTGGAGTCTTTGGTTGTCTGAGAATGATGAAGCCAATAGCTGTGATAAGGTAACCTACAATGGCAAAGCCGGCGCGGTGGTTGAGACGATCAGCTGCATATGCAGCCAAGAGACAGGCCACACCAGATACGATAAATATAGGAACGACTTGACCCTGGACTTGTGGTGTGGTGTAGTGAGGATGGAAAGCTTGTACAAAAGAAGCAGCGAAGATGGCGACAGAGTAGGTTGTGGAACAAGTGAGCACGTAACATGCGGCCCAGATATAGTTGAGACCGTTGCTCAAGAAAATCTTCCATTCTGCGACGATTCCGACTGTTGTTGTGCGGGCTTCAACCTCAGTGGCGATTATCTCCTTCTGTTCTTCGGTGAGGAATGATGCTGTTTCGGGGCGGCTGATGTTGCAAAAGAGACATGCAAAACTGATGGCTAGGGTGAGACATCCTTCGACAATGAAGACCCTAGGATCAGAGGTCAGCTTTTACTCTCCAGTCTTTGTATAACGTCAACATAGATGTGAAAATTCCAGTAGTTCGGACTACAGTTCACTAAACGGCTTTCAATGTCTGGATCCACTTGGAAGATTGTGCTGCCTTCCGGCCTTATTTTATCTTCAGATATGGTAATGCTTTCAGACATTAATTTGTCTTTGAACATCACATTGCTTTCGACATTGTATTGCCTTTGGACATTGCACTGCTTTCAAAACATTGTGCTGCCTTCAAATATTCACCGTCCGGAATATTAAGAAATAATTTGACTTACCATCGCCATCCCTCATACCCATTTGAGCTGTTGATATGAGCAATACCAAAAGCTAAAATATTTCCCACAACATTTGAACCGATATTTGCAACCATAAGCATGCTAACTCTCCATTGCAGATGCACTGATGGGTAGTATAAAGCACAGACGAAGATACATCCGGGAATGAGCCCTGAGTCAAACACCCCTACAAGGAAGCGAGTAGCTAGCAAGGCCGAATAGCTTTGGTCAAAACCTTGGCCCAGAGTGACGAGACCTGTTGGTTTGAATTAGACACCGCTACAAAGGATGTTAAAGACTATGGAGATAGACGTACCTAGAAGAGCAGTCATAAGAGATAGATATCTCATGTATGAGAAGTTGTATTTCCTTTCCAAGAAGCGCATGAGAAGATTACTGGGAACCTCGAATAGGATCAGCGGCACCAAGGGAATGGTAACTGAGATGAAAACTTTCATGGCATCCATCTTCAATTCTTTTGGCAAGCCTTGTACCATGGCGGCACCAATATTCGTCCGGCCCATGAGAGACAGGAAGTTCAAGAAGAGCATGGGTGTAAGAAGGTAAAGATCAAGTTTCAAGGCGAGCTTCTGATCGAATCGAGAGGGACCAGAAAGTGCCAAATCATGGCTGGTCTCTGTAGCAGAGTGTTTTTCGTCCATTTGAGACACTTCGGTGACTGGTTCTTGTGCCATTTTTCCGCTGAGTAGTGGTGCTTCAAATTTTAGATGAGTATCCCTTTCTACTAGACAAACAAAGAATAGGGATTTGAAGGGTTGAAGTACAAATCTGATGGAAACAATCTCGGTGGGATGTAGCAATTGGGAATGTAGTATTTATCGCAAGATTCGCCCTGCAACTCAACATGCAAGAACGCCTTTACCGCAATCATCTAGGATTAATTATTGATATTTGTGGGGAATTCCGATGCAGAGTTTGCCTAGATCAACCTGTAACAAACCTTTAGCAAGCATAAATTCAACACTCGTTTCGACATGAGTTTTGGTAGAGAGTAAAACGAATCCTATAGATAAAAGGATATCGGCACATGGACGTTACCCAATCGATTACGGGGTCTTTTCCCGATCCAGATTACTCATATGAAAGATGCATATACAGCATTTGTATTCCTTGTCACTCGCTTAAGTCTGCAGCGTGCCCCCCGTCGTGACGGGGGTAATCGACATGGGGTATCATTTGGTTACGCGCAAGTGCGTTACCCCCGCGCCCCCCCCCTAGTTCCCCAACTCGTATGATATTGCCATTACACCGTATACTACCCGTGGTATCACACAGCTAGTGGGGCATCGATATGGTAAATTAATTACAATCTTGTTACAACCGAGTCCAGCTCTAAAGTTCAAACGCATTCCGAGGCCATGTTTACTCTAGGGCCTTTTAGCTCCTGTGACATGTGGTAGACGGGTGCTAAATTAGAGATAAAATGATCCCCCCTACTATCTGGAGCTAGCCCTACCGAAATCTAATCGTCTACATACTTTCGGATTTATCAATCTCTCTTTCCACGATGTAAGATGTTTCGACCTTGATCTTTTGATCAGGGATTTTGTCGTCGCGGATGATATTTTCCCGGCTATTTCCTGAATGCATAGAATCCATCTCAAGATCGTCGTCGCCAAAGCGCTCGTATTGCGAGCGAGGCTTCGACTTGTCTGTAGTCTGCAAGTGACTCCCCATAGCCCCGATATTTCGAGATTGGGATTGAGCCCCCGATTCAATTGTCGTATCACCAAAGCTAATCCCAAATAATCGCTTGAAAAAATCTTCCATGATCTTCAAAACAGTAGGAATGCAGGCTGAAATTATTCCGAAGTTGACTTCAAGCTGAGAGACGAGTATACCGGTGGTAGCACCATCTTAACAAGAGTTTGAGTAAGCACTGTCGTCTGTATTATAACAGTCCTGGGATCAACTTACAAGGTATATCGTTGAGATTTTGAGAAGATGTATAAAGACCCTTCAGACGCACACACCCGAGGATAATCTCACTATCAAAAGGTTAGATATGGTCACATTGTTTATGAGGTAAGTGACGACTTACGCAAGAGCTAATATGGTCATGATCAGTGCTATAGTATATTTTCTCTTATATTGAACATGAGAGAATAGCCACCATGGAAGAGCTGCGACCACTATACTTGCGAAGATGTTCAAGCCAGCATGAGTAAACCAGAATGGGGGTTTGTAGAAGCAGTGGGTTTGTCTTAACGAGTGAATCCAATTACTCTTAAAGTCGAGGCCGCATTGAAAGGCTGAAACGATGGAGCAGCTGAGAGAATATCCCGCGATATAAATAATCATTATCTTGCAAAATTTGTTGAAATTCTTCATATGTGGAGTCGAAATGGCCAAGAGGAGTAGACAAGTAGCGATCTTCGAAAGACCACATCCTGCTTTATAAAATATCTGATAAAGATAAAACATCTATATAGGATTAGAACGTATTGCACAATCGCGGTTTGGTCGAATGGGTACCAACCTGAAGGGTAGTCTCGAGCTGTGTCGTGCTCAATAGTTTCGCGTGAAGTCCAAGTCCCCATTCCGCGCCTGATTAATCGCTCAGCGTTTTTCATAAAATATACCACAGAAATACTTACTAACACAAGCAATCACAGTCAAAATGATGGCAAGTACCTTTTAGAAGTGTTAGAATCATCGTGTGATATTCTGATCAAGATACTTACAGATGAAGCAACGATTGCTAAGTCGGAGACCAACATCCAGTATCTGGGTTCACCAAAACTTGGCGCAGAGTTTCCAGGCGAATTGTTATAGCGATATCGACCCCATATTCGCAGACAAACAAAAATTACAACGAAGGCCATTGAAATAGTAGCTCCTTCAATAACGACCGCCCCGCGAGGGTTACTCGCAACCGGAGGACTGGTCGATACATTGACTGTGCTCATCATGAAGACACTTGCGCAAAAGAGAATACAATCGACAGAAGATCGATCAGCATAGACAATCGCCTAGTAACTCCAGTGGATACTATAAGGCTGCGGGGACGTGAATGAATGATATACTTTATTTCTGGGCTCACATGTTTTTACAGAAGCAATGTAGAACATTTACTGGAATAATATGCAGGGTCAAAATGACTGCTGTGCGAAACTCAACAGCTGATAGTGACAAGGTTTGATGTCTATGTAGGAACGATATGTCAAATGCGCGAGGGACCCATGGCACTTAATTCAAAGCCTCGCAAGCCACTAACCGGCAACCGGTAGTACCTCTGCTATTCCCTTGTCGCCGCGAATAGGGAATAACTCGCGACTGATTTATAGTTTCTCATGAACATCTTGAAAGCTGATTCCAGCAGCTGGCATCTTTTGATGCATGTTTTACAGCAGGGTTGTAAGTCGGCTCCGGTTGCAGGAATTGAGGGCCTGCAATTGTGTGGGGGTTTATCAGCCAGATCATCGTGGTTCCTATATGAACATAAATCCTTTCGCACTCGGGTAAAACTTGAGATGAAAAAGCTACCTCTTTTAAAAGATTTTGATTAGATCGTATGACTTCATGAACCTAATTCCGCAAACTTGGGCAAAGTTGCGGAGAATTGCGCAGTCAAAGGTGTCTAATGAGTTTAGATTCAACCCGCCCGAGACATACGTGTATAAGTCCCTTGTGATTATATAGTGATGTTTGAAATGGAGATTATTGTCTACTCCTGCATTATTAATTACTGTGGGGCCAACAACAAGTAATGTTGTTGCATATACCCAGGATTCAAGTTCGATGATCGAAAACCAGATTGAACGACTGTACGGTGTTTTTATAGGGCAGAAGAGCCGGCAGCATCTTACGCTATTAGTGAATAATGAACTTACAAATAAAAGCGCTGCTCGCATTAGAACACACGTAGAACAGGTTGCCAAAAGAGTTGGAAGAAAATGAGCAAGTGAGTTGTATTTTCAACCATTACGAAGATCATGGTCATTTATCCGTGTCTTAATCACTTGTTGCCTTGGATTCATATCTTGCAGAGAGTGAACAGGCACACAATGAACGAGCTAGTTCATGCACTAATCGAGAATACCTACCCAGGCCCAAAGCTCATCGACGTTTCAATCCAATCCTAACAGCCAAGTGTTCTTCAATGTTCTGATTCGAGCCAGATACTTTGAGTATTACAATTTGAATCTGGCGATGGGATGTTGTAGCCTTATCGGATGCTTGCTGAAATTTGAACTTTGGTGTGTATTGTATTTCGTTCCTGTGGAGATAGGCTGCTGAAAACATTCTTTCGAAGCAAGTAAGTGGCAAACCCTAACAGTGTCAAATGGAAGGATTTTCTTCGAATTGAGGCAATTTTGTTCGGAAGCCGATCTTTGGGCCGCAGCAGGATAAAATATAGTCTAAGAGGGCGCCACAGAATACCCGTCCCCATACAATTTAGGAAGGAGCCGGATCAACTAAAAAACCCTGATGCAGGGAGCAGATTGAGAACAGTGGGGGGGGGCACCCTCATTGTTCTCAAGATGGCTCGTTTTGAGCAAAGATGATCTCTAGTCCGTGCTATAATAATGTACAATACTGAGACATTACCTCTGATTCCAAAGTTCCCCGGTCACTGTAACAAGGGTGGCACGGGGGCTTCCGTTGAAAGTAGCGTTGGCAGCTTTATCTGACCATGGTCCAGGGATATAAATTAGCTTTCCATTGCGTCGGTACTGCACCACCATTCTGCAGTGGCTCTTTCAAGATGGCACAGTGCAGTTGGTTACAATTCTAAACAAAATAAACGAAGAAAAAAAAACATCATCGTCAACACAATAAAGGAACTCGATAACGATAGAAAGACTACAATTATCATAAGACTATTCAGCTGTGCCTCGCGTTCGATACTCAATCTCCGTACTCTTCTAGGATTCGGAAGCTCATCTAGGATAATAGCAAGGGCCACTTGCCGGCCTGCTTTCCGCTGTATGGCTGATGGAGCTATTAGGGGTCGCTGCCAAATAACTGAATTACGGAATACACTGTATTGGTAAGTGGGCCAATTGCTAATGAGAATACTTTACCCGGATGTTCGTTCCCTAAGGCCGCGAAGGGGATCACCTCGGATGAAATCCGTCCACGAAGCTTCTAAAAGCTTAGAGACCATCGACCAATGAAATTTGAAAAGACATATGTATTTTGCTGAATTAAGCAATTGACCTAGAGATATCCACATACAGGGTTCAATTTGACATCTCCACACCGTTCCCATGTAAAGCCTATTAAATAACCTTAGTGGAGCAATAAAACATGGGTGGGTCAAGTGCCCAATGAACAGATTTCGAGTTATCGCTCAATCATATTTCGGACGCAAAATTCATTGGAGCGCATCTTATTCTTATTGAAACTGAAGGTGGACGTGGTGGAATCATCAACATAGATGACAATTGTTTCATCTTAAATGGTAGCATTGTAAGAATCAGCCTTCCACAAAAATCTTGCTCTTCGAGCCAATTCCTCGGCGTCAGTTACTCCACCCGAGAATACAAACCCCTGTTCTCTTGAGTAGTCCACGAGTTTTTGCGCCAAAGGCTTATGCTTACGTTCATATGCAATAGAAGCCGCCATGAGTACTTCGGCAATCTCGGCATTGCTCGCATTCGGGTTGAGGGCATGAATACGGGGATTCAGTTCTTCGTGCAGAAAGGTAGTAACGCCAATAAATCCGGTTGCCATCGAGCCTCCGATATGAGGTAGCATTCCGTTGGCAGAATCACCGAAGCTCGTCATACAATGACTTTGGTTGGTGAAGGTACCCAAAGTCTGCATGTGAGTCAGTTCAAGGCATACACAGCCACCTGGTTGAGCATTAAGCAGCTATTAAAATGTTAGCTCAAGGAACAAGACCATTGCCGCCAATATCCTGAATGCTTACCCTCAAGAATTTCTGAACTTTGGAATTCGCCCCGGGAAAATAAGTAAGCAGCTCATCGGTAGTTGTTACGTAGTTTCTTCCACGCTTTTTCTGAACTTCCTCCATTGAGAATGCCGCAATGTTGACGTATTTGCCACCATCAATGGGGAAGGTTAACACGTGCCAGCCTTTAATACCAAGAAACATGGATGTATCTGTAGTAAATCGCTTTCCAATCTCTGCCTCGATCTTGCTGCTCTCGACTTTTCCCCTGAATGTAACATGGCCCGAGTAAGCTGCAGGTATGTAATCCTCGCCCTGCACGAACTTTCTACACAGGGAGTTCATACCATCACACGCCCACAGGGCATTTGCGTGATCTTCACCACCATCTTCAAATGTCAGCGTCAATTCACCATCAGTGTTTTTCTTTACTGATTCAAGCTTTCTGCCGTACTGGATTGGAGTATCCTTGGGACCGAAAGCATCAAGCATCACCATAAGCTCATCACGCCCAATTCTTCCGAAAACTTCACCCTCTGGGACACGAATGGTATGCAAATGGTTGTCTTCCTCCCCGCCGTGGTAGAATTCCATCCACACAGGGTCCGCTAAACATTGGTCGTGCAGCTCCTTGTAGATAGCCGGATTAAGACTGCAAGATCGGGGAGTTAGTATTGTCTAACAGCGACGAACTTTTGGAAGAAAGTAAGAAAAAAAAAGTGTTGATCAAGTATATGGAAGCAGAAGAGGTATATTTGATAAGACATGGCAGTGGAATTTGAAACAGAGAAACAGAAGCAGGTAGAAAGACAAAGAATTTGGGAGACTAATCAAGCTTACCGCTTCGTCGTTGCGAGCGTTTGCGGCCCAATGCCATAGCCAAAGGCGGGACGGAGAGGCAATGTTTCGGCTTCGTATTGTGCATACTCAATTCTTGGATGAGCAGCTACACTACTCAGAAGCAGCTTACCAATTGGCCCACTGCCTATCACACTGATTCGAAATTTTGGAGCTTCAGGCATCTTGAAAGCAGGAATGTACTTAGGTCCTGCAATTTCCAAAATAAAAACGAGATGAGAAGATATGGTAATAGAGTGAGAAAACGGGCACTCTGATTGAAATATGGTACGTATATTTCAACCAAGCAGGGGATATCAATCGATATGCTTCCAGCTCCAGAGAATCCAACAGAATTTTATTGGCCAATTTATATGATAACTTATGCTTGCAAAAAAAGTCAAGGTAATGAACCTCCCCCATTTTCTCTTGCATTGGCCCACAAATAATACCTGTTCATACTAAATATCAGATCATCGATTGCACAGTAGGCATTGTACCCCCGTACGATACCAAAAGTCCTTGTATCTGAATTGAAAGGGTCCTACTCCGTATTCGCGATGTTCGAGATCTTCCCAGGGCCAAAGACTCCTCCGCAGAAATGCAATTGCGATAGGGAATGTATCGAATTCGTGAAAAAATCTGAAAGCATTCCCCATTTTTGATTTTCATGCTTAATCGTCTCGATATTGTCTAGATCAGCGTATTCTGGTCATGCTATGTAGTGGATAGAGTAGCTACACCGAAAATCCTCGGACATACCTGCGTGTACAATTATGGTACTCTTGAAGGACATTCATCCGGGAGCGCATGAGAAGATTGAGGTGATGAATCATATTTTAGGGGTCGTCGACTCCGTCGGATAAGGGGCGGTCGCGACTTTTTGACCTTTTCAGCCTGAAAAGACGCGTGAAGAAGGGCTGCACCACGAAATAACACCTCCTAGCTAGAGACTCCATTTCCATAGTATTAGGATGCTGTCCATACTATTTTACGTGTGAGGAGTTACATCGATGGTACAAGAATATCCAAAATCTTGAATAGTTGGTGTGTGTCGTGAATTGTTTTTGTTTGCAAGGTGATGCCCATCTTACAATAATTAGCATTTCGGTCCATTTCGGCCCCCGTATCCGCGTATCCTCGTATCATATCCCTCTCTCCCTCTCTCTCTCTCTAAATTTCCACAAAACACGTCGATTGTTGCAACACCGACCTTTGAAATTCGATATACGATGTTCAATCTTTATCATACAGGCATACATACAACCATGTTTTAGTAACCTAAACCCCTCTTGAGAGCAAGACTCGAGGGTTTATCAGAGGTTAATGAATGCTGTAATTTGGTATCGAATACTTTCGACATACGTGAGAAGTTCTACAGAGTTTTGTTACACATTGTCCCAAAAGACACTATAAATGCATGTCCGGAGTCCTTCTACAGTATGCAAGACTAATAGAATAGGAGAGGGAAGTTGCTAATCGTTGTTTCTCAAACAAATCTATCGCCTGTTATCGTCTCTTGGTATCGATAGGCCTGTTTGAGATTTGGGAACACTGCAAATTCTCTCGTGTTGCTAGAATTATCAGAACCCTCAACAATATTTCCAGCCACCAAACAATCGTTCTTGGGTATTCAAGTTGTTCCTACGGGAAAAGGGGAATATGAAATCCTTCCAATTACATATTTTACTGGGTAACAACCGCTTGACGATCTTGGAACTTACGAACGCATGGTATTCTTTTAGTTGATACTACTTGGCAAAAAGTGTCGAAATATCACCAAAAAAGGTACAAGTACACTTACCTCCGCGAGACGAGAAATCTTTCTTGATTTTATTCAATGCCCTTAAGATTTAAGAACCTTTCACTAGAAGCCTTGCAATGATCTAGGTTTGCGATTCCTTAGTTGGATTGCAGGCGCCTCGGTGGGTATCCGCGTTTAACCCCCTGTGAAGATCACCGTCTATTTCGAATAACTAAAGATTGGAGCGGAGGGACGATTTTGCAGGTAAATAACTCTGATGCAGTTATTCAAGGAAATATAAGGATCTTGGTGGAAGAAAAATGTCGAGTTCTAAGCTAAGTACTCACTTTCGCTCATTTTGTTCCCCTCAAAATGCGCTTCTCCCGAGTTGGGTAAACTATTTGTGAGATAGATTGTCAGCGAAGCACCTTCCCCACCATTGCCATGATAAGGCATCCCCTCAAATCTGATATTAGAATTCAGAGTTACCTGGAGGATACAAACCTATTACTCAGATGCCTAAGGGTAAACGCAACTCCAACATTTTGAAATGGTGTGCTGCGCGGCTACCAGTCAATCCACCATCTTGGCGGGGTAGGCGTAATACAAAAGTAATGGTTGCCCTTTGCTCAAGCTAAGTAGTACTTTCATAATCAAACCTTTTCGGTCGAAATTCAACGAGACCATCTCAGCCCAATATGGAGTCTTCACGATCAGGTGTTGCATCATCTAAAGAAAAGTTACCCATCACCACATTCGATTCAACAGCTCAAGAGGAGAATAAGACAGCAGCCAGGAAATCTGAAAGCATGTCTCTGAAATTCGCAATCCAATGCCTGGCAGTGATGATACTACTGAACATATTTCTGTACAATACGGTCCGATACTTCTCAGCGGAGACTACGGGCTTTAGTGGTTGCTCCCATGAGAACGCTGCTTTGGGTTCCTCGAGATATAGGAATGGTCTAGGCAAGCTTTCACCGGAATTAAAGTTCGGAGACAGGAGCCATGGAAACGATTACCCGTCACTATGGTTGCTTGAAGCAGCAGGCGCTTACACTAAAAAGACATCTGTATCATTCAACGATGTCACCGATATCTGCGCTAATTACTCTGGAGAAAATTCCCCTTCCCATTGTACAACAAACACTATTGCGTCTGTACTACTTCTCAGCAGCTCTATACTTTCCCTTCAATCAGAGCTTATTAATTTTACCACTCCACACCTTTCGAATGGACGGCCGCTAAATTCAAACTTCGATCCACCAGCTCTACTGGACATGATGTACCCTAATCCTCCAGAATTTCAGAAGGCTGTACCATATTATATTACCCATACTATCGGTTCTCCTGTTCACCATGTAGGGTATTATTGTTCCTTCTCGTCCCCATGCACCAACCCAGTGTTCAGCATCTCCACCCATGAAGATATTCCCATGCTCTTCACATTCCTCCCTTCTATCCTCGGTACCCACACAGAAGCTCTCAAGTTTGGTTTCGGAAATGCGGCAGACTACCACTTTTCTACCAACAATTTCGCGAATGGTGGCTTTGATATACTGTTCGGAAAAGCAAAGTCACCTATGCTTGATCCTATAAACGATTACTCTCAGATGAAACAAGAAGTACATTGCCTTCTTAGGGATGGATTGAAACTGCCTGGTCTCTTCTTCAATATCCGCACTCGTGGCTCCGGGGAGAAAGGCTTTCATGGAGCAATAATCCCATGGACCCGCAATGAGAGAAGCGAGACAGAGCGAATGGAGACAATCATGACGTCGGAACAAAACATGACTACCTGTGCTGCGGCCATAGCAACGCGGCATTCTAAGAGAGTAGAATTGTGGCTTTTAGGGGGTTTCTTTCTGGGGCTGGCTGGCTCAGGAGTAATTGTCTCGCTATTTGCTCGGTGGCTCGAAAATAGGCAGGGAAGGATTCGTTTATAGTTGAGGGGTAAATTTCACGGCGTCTGGTAGATCAAGGTATTGGGAAATCATTGTTCGAGAAGATGGGGGCTTCAATGCATAGGGACCTGGTACAGAGTAGACATCAGGATGTCATGATACCTTGCCCGAGCCGGAGTTAGATTTGATGAATTAGATGCCAATTCAATGTATATTTATAGTGCCGATATCCCATTTCGATATTGAGATACATAATTATTGACCAACACCCAAGTCGCCCAATAAACCCCGCAACTAAGGAAACCATCATCCACTGACTAGACTTTGCCACTTTACCTAAGCACTCAATACCTTATTCCCGATCCTAACCAGATCCTCATTCGATAACGTCTCTTTCTCAATTCCCTTGACTGCCTGCTCCAACAAAGTCGCCGCAATCTGACTGACATCCACTTTCGGAAGCCCAATAAGACTTCTCCCAATTGTCGATAATACACTACCCACCAACCCTTGCCGACGATCCGGTCCATCTATCAGTCCTGGTTTCGCTATACATGCTTCCACTGTTCCATTTGACGCTTGAGCAAAATCGATGACACGGGATTCAGCTTCACCCTAAAGAACTATTTAATACTCAATCCTTCCTGAATAGGAGAAAAACAACACATACCCGCATCAAAAGATAATCACCCATAACCCAAGGCTGTCTACTCTGATCTCTTTCACTCTTATGACCACTAATATAAATAAATCGAAAGGGTCTAGCACTTTTTTCGCGCGAAAGCTGGGTAATAGTTTCGAGCCCGGTTACTGTGTACTCTAGACAGATTTTCCTCGCTTCATCTAGTGTTGAATCTTTCATTTTAGAGGGGGTTATTGCAATGAGCCTATGGCATTGATTAATATTTCGGCAAAGACTGAATCCGTAAGCGGAGAAATGAAGGGGTCAATAATTAAATCGCAGAGAAAAAGCAAACAACAATACCAAATACAAGCTTCGGCGCCCTCAAGTTCCTTCTTCACACTATCCGAATAATTGGAAAAATCATCACAAACGACAGCTTTAAATTTGGCGATATCAGCATTACCATCCAGGGTTTGTGGTACAGATGTTTCGCGACGAGCAAGGGCTATGATGGATGTGATATCTGGGCTGGAGAGGGCTTGTTTGATGAGTTCTGTGGCGACAAAACCAGTTGAGCCGGCGACGATGAGTTTCATGGCTGTATGATGTTTGGGCTTACAGTCGAGTATAACAAGCAATTTGTGAAGAAGTTAGAGTGATCGAGACTCATACTACGAGTTCAGTGTGAGAAAATGTAAGCAGCCTACCAGCTAGTAGATAGCGCCACCAACTGTTGGGGATGCCGTGCTTTAGCATTCGTTAACTCCACGTACAACGGCGTCCTAGGTGAGACTACTTATGATTGTCATCACGTCTCTAAACAATGAACGAGAATGGCGTACAAGGCCGATCAAGGATATAGCGAATGAGTAAATCAAACGAGTAAGCAAAGTCGACGAACAAATAATGAATGCTTATTAATGGCAATTGCAATCAAACGTCGTAGGAAACCAATGAGAAAAACAGAACGTGAAGCAATTCTTGGCGATTGGATGCACCCTCAGCTACTAGAAAATTGTCTGAAAAGTTCCAACCATATTGAACAAATTGGATTGTCTCTTGACTGAGTTGACTCGCCAGAAACTCAATGGGGCTGAGATCGAACGAAATTCGATAATGTGAAAATTTTCAAGCATAAATTCAATCAAATGCTTCAAAGTTATCTAATTATGTTTGCAAGCAGAGCAAACCAGGTTAACTAAATTCTCAACTCCATCGCTTATTCCTCGATTCGCCATTCCCATGAGAATTCGGTTCCATCCTCCCAATCCTAAATCCAAGGCCGACCAACTACCTAATACAAAAAGGATATACCATACGAATGCATTGGCTATGACAAAGTATATTTAATCGAGTACCTGTAAGCTTCTTTCCCCCTCAAAGAAGTAATTTCTCATCTCAGTGAGTCCCATTTGCCTTTCCACCACTCCCGCTCGCTCTCTTTGGATTTCTTCCATTGGTTAATTCGCTCAAAGCGCCCTCATTTCCATCCTCCTCATTTCCTCCAAGTAATTTGTCCATAAAACTGATGTAATCATATTGTGGCATACCTCTATCCTCTTGTAGATCAGGGCCTTTATGCATCGGTATAAATTGAGTTAATTTTTCAATGACTTCATCGGGTACCAAACTATGTCTCAAATCCATTTCTGTAACATATGGTTTACCGTCCGCAACTTCGCGGAAGGACTGGAAAACTTGCTCGGCTGTATTTTGATCTTCTGTGACGTCCACCATGAATCGGATGAATTCTTCGAACGTTACATAGTCTTTTCCATTTGATGTGTCGAGGAAATAGTCGTGCATTTCGTCTTCGGAGAAGACGAGACCAAGTGATGCCAAGGCTGCACTGAATTCCAACTCTTGTAGACTGTTGGTAGCGTCGCGATCAAAATGTCGGAAAACACTTTCGAACTCTTCGAGTTGTATTGGTGTCAAATTTGTCATGTTACGAGCCACAACCTGGTTGTCCAAGAATGCCAACTTCTTCGCAACCGAATTTTTGACGAGACTCATCTCGTAACAAAGCTCATCGTATGTGTAAGTCGTAAAATCATTCTCCTCAATATTTGCTTCCTCGCATTTCTTGTCTATGGCCTCGATTTGGTCCAAGAATTGATTGAGAGGTGGAAGATTATCATGTAATCGGCGTACATGAACCAGTTGATCCTCCACATCACCCTCCAATCCTGATATTGCCAATTGCATAGTATTCAGAGTGGTTGCGAAGTCGTTGGCTTTGTCGGCGAAAGATCTTCGTAAGGCATTTTTGATACTAAAAATCATTAGCATAATTCAGTTTGCACATGGATAAAACTTACTCCCTAATGGTCTCGTTTATCAGTTGACCTCTCGCCATTTCCCCCTTCATTAACTTCGCCCATTCTTCATCTAGAACACTCAACCTCAACTCTGGGGGTGGGTCATAAGCTCGGAGGCGGTATGTGCTGAGCTTCGTCTTTATGTTCCCTAACAGTGCTGCAAGATCACTTTTCTCTGCAACCCACTCTCTTTTCTGGCCTCTCTTGTATGAACTAAAGTGTGTCGCTTGTTTCTTTGCATCCGCATATGTACCTTCGAAAGTCGCATCTTGCCAAGTAAGAACCTGCTCCTTAATACTCTTCAAAAGTGCTCTCATTCTCTTCTCGTAAGCACTCTGCATCTCCCAAGCTCCTTGCATGTTGTTAACGAACTTCTCTACTCTTCGACCAGCGTTTTCCACCTTCTCCATCTGCGAAAAGGCGTGGAACCAATAGGCTATGTAGGTCATCAAACTCCTCTCATCCGGTTTAGCCACGTCGCAGACATCCTCAACATCCAAAAGTGCCGGAATACCAATTTCCTTAGTAGCAATGTCAAAAGCCAATTGCATATTTCCTCTGTGATCGTCCTTATCCAAAGTATCATAATCGATCAGATCTGGGCGATGAATATCAAGCAATGCACAGAATGCTAAGCCATCATTCCAACTGTCTGTAAAATTTCGAACATCGACCTCTTCGTAGCAAGCTGTTTTTCTTTGACACCATAGCAATAAACCTTCTTTTGCAGTCATACCCTCCAAGTTGATGTCGGAGATGGTGAATCGGAGAATGAGCGTCCAAATCAAGCCGAGTATGATTTTGCGATTTCCGTCCACAACATCTTCGGCTCCGATGTTTGTCATTTGAATTCCTCTGGATTTGATGAAGTCTAGCGACAAATTTGCGTTCTCGAATCGCTGCACTCGTAGTTTAGGCTTCGCCGCATATCGTCCGAGTGATTCGTTGGAGAGGCATTCGAGGAGATGGATGAGAATGACCTGCTATGTTAGCATTTAAGGAAAAGTTCCTCGCAGAGAGAACTTACTCCATCGCTCAAATCTTTAACCAAATCTATTACTTCCAATTTCCTGTGCGCTATCTTGGTGTTCAACCTAGTTTCTGGTAAATAACGCATTCATGCTTCGTAAACACAATAGGCCAGCTTACCATTTTGTGAAAGTTTTCTGTTGCACTGTAATCCACTGTTGCTGTTCAGCAAAAGCCATCTTTCCAAGCTGATGCTCATGCAGCGGTTCGACTGCTTTCAACGCTTCCCCTGAGCCTGAAATTGATCCCTTAGATTTATTTCTATGCTGATATCTCTTTCTTCTTCTTCCTAGCCCGAGCTCTTCCTCGCTCTTCTCGGGTTTCTCTGCAGATCTCTGCAATCGTGCTGCCTCGGAAAATTGTCTCGAACGTAATGTCTCGCGTTCTCTTTGGCTCGCAGATCTTTCTCGCCTTACAACCCTAGGTGGTGTCGCAGGTGGGGTATTCGGAGCGTTTATCTCAAAATCTGTTGTGGAAGAAGAAAACCTCTTTTCTTGATTTTGCGTGTGACTATGATTTTCAATAGGAGTTGGTGAAATTGTACGTGAGTGACGTGGTGATGTGGATGTGCTGGTTTCCTCAAATTTGTTTACTTCTAAATTAGGATTGGCGGTAGTTGCCGGCGGTGACCCCACCAAGCAACGATCGTTGCCAGGGGTATCAAAAATTGCCGAAGCGGCAAGCGGCGTTGGCGTTTGTTTCCCCTTGCTTTCTTCAACATGATCACCAATTTCTGATGATGGTGGCGATGGCGGTGATGGTGATAATGGGATTTCAATGTTTTTTGATGATATCGATGGTAACGTCAATTCTGACGTTGATTCTTCTTGAACGTTGTCCTCGGTAACGTCCGTTTCCACGTGAGTTTCATCCACTTTAGCATCTTTCTCTTCCACACTCTCGATTTCGTCCTTGACATCTAAATCTTTCACTACCAAAGCATCTTCCTCCTTCACATATTTCTCTCCGATGGTTTCGGGTTCTCTTTTGTCATCCTCCAGTCCCTCTTCAACTCCCAGATTCTGTTCCCTCTTTATATCTTCCTCTTCCAATCTGGCATCGAGATCTTTCACCACAAACAAATCTTCATCTCTCGCTTCTTTGATTTTTTCACTCTCTCCTTCTTTCCTTGTCGCATCTAGATCTTTGATTACGATAACATCTTCTATTCTATCCTCCTCTTTCGCCTCTTTGTTTGGAGTATCATTTTTTGGCGCTTCGGTCTTTGGCTCTATCCTCAATGATTTCTTTAAGGCGGAAAACATATTGAAAACAAAACTGAATATAAAAGTCACAAAGGCTTCTGCGATGGAACGAATCGATAACCTTTAAGTAAAGGCTCACAACTACAATTGAGTATACAGCCAAACTACTCAAGGTTAGGGTTATTTTTGCATGATGAAACATCAATTCATTCGTGTTTCTGATCAGCAGCCCACAATCTCTGCATCAAAGCGGAATATCACTGGTTGAAGAAACTTAGGGTTCCTGACCAGTGTATCATATTACCTACCATACAACGAGTTTATCATGCAAATGATCAATCTCGAACTTTACAAATTTATCGAATGGACCTATTCTACAATTCATGGCATTGTCGATTAGTCCTTATTCCCCATATTATCACCCGAAATTCACGATCCATATTCATTTGACACTTCTCGATCTACTTGGAAATCGTACTCCTGCCAGGACGGTTGTACCGGGACACCAAAGATATACACTGTTTTCAATATTCAACATCAAACCAATCAATCGTTGTTTGGATTTGAATGTTTGATGACCTGTGAGGAAATCATTGTGCCGATGTTTTTGCGGATTTTTGTATATTGTAAGGGTTATATGTTTTTTTATACTAGCTAAATCATATGATAATATAGCAATATATATACCTAGATAGTTATATATGCAGTATTGATATTACACAACCACAGATATAGAGAAAGGGTCGGGGGGCGCAAGGGGTTTCCCCTTTATGTCTGCGCTCCTAAATGCAAGGGCTCTAAACGACGTGTACAATGCACGCCTAGAGTAGGTATTCAATAGTCCGAATTGCAGCCCAACTATCCAAAGCTTTGGAACACCAATTCCTTTTGAATATTGAATTTATTTTAAGAATCGAAATAATGTTCATCATTAAGTTGATTCGGAACAATGAATTTTGTCAAATCAATAATCGTATCTTCAGAATTTCAAAACGAGAATCTGTAAATGGAATGTAGTTCCGGGCTATTGGAAACATTGTGCGTGCCTCCAAAATCAATCAGAATATTCAGAAGCTTTTAACTTGGCGATTTATTTGGCACTGAAACTAGGAATACACATTGATGTTACTGTTCAGAGTCAGACTTTCAATGTTTTTATTGTCTGATTTTATTTATCTATTTATTTGAATGAATGTGTCGCTTTTTACGCCTCTGTAGAGTGTACGTACGTGGGAGGCCGCAATTCTCTTGTAACAATTGTGTTCAAAACCGATTGCATGAATCAGAAGTATATTAGAAACAATTTCTTGTCTGCCATCCCAACGCTACGACATTTCAGATAATCTGATACTCAAACACCTCGAGGAACCATGACAGATATGTCCAAATTCGCGAACGCTATCCTACCCCACTATTCTATTACGCCCGTCATCCCATTAAGTCTCACAACTTGCGCTCTATTAATAACCAAAAGCCGTATTCGAACAACCAGCTTTGACACATTTCAGACAATAAAGTGGCAGCTTTTCGCAAATTTTGGTGAAAGCAGCGCATTTTGAAAGGTTCGTCCAGCCAGCAGTTGTAGCACATTTCAAGGTATCTGCATAACAGGCAGCGGCTGATTTTTGGCATGTCAACATGGTGTTGAAAGGAGTAATCTTACCACACCATGTTCCAACTGTTACAGCGCATGTTGCCGCTGGGGTTGGAACTACGGTTGGCGTCGGTAAAGTCACCGAAGTCGATTGCTTGACCGTCGTTGAACTCTTTACAGAGCTTGTAGATGACTTCGCAGTGCTTGTGGATTTCAAAGTTGTTACGGTCGCTGATACAGTAGAACTTTTGGCAGTTGTAGCGCCAGTTGCTGATGTACCACTAGTCTTTGCGCTTGCAGAAGTGCTTTGAGATGAGACTGCGACAGAAGATGACGTTGTCGAGCCGGAGGTGAGAGAGCGATACCAATTTGTTCTATCGGTGTCGCCCAAACAATCACCAACCGTAACGCCCTTCCACCCTCTGGCCTTGATTTGATCGAAATAGTAGGTGGAAAGGTTGCCAACAGATTGTTGTACGATATCGTGCTGGATAGACAGGTAGTCTTGAACGGCTGTTGCAGCAAGTGCTTTCTGCACAATATTCTTGGAGTTCTGAATTTGCGATGGCAAGGGGTTTAAATAATCCTGGGTGTCCAAGTCAAAATAGACTCTGTGGTATCCTAGAGTTTGCATATCTGCCCAGCATCCTGATGCCTCGGTACAATCAGAATAAGGAGGTCTCATGTAAGTTGGCCATTTTCCAATGATATTATTGAAAGCCATCTCGTTTTTAACCATCTGCTGCATTCGAAGGTCGTGTGAGATATTTGAAAGCGAGTAATGACTCCAGGTATGGGATGCAACTTGATGTCCTTCGGCAATCATACGTTGAATCAAAGATGGATAGGGAGCGGTGGTATCGATCTCTCCTTTTCCATTGTTGTTGCCGGTGATGAAAAATGTCGCCTGATAACCATACGACTTTAAAATGTCGAGGAGATCGGCTGTGTAATTGTATGGGCCATCATCGTAGGTAAGGGCTACGACATTATTTTGTACGCAGTCATAAATATCATCCGTATAGGTGATAGGTCCCATCAATGGTCTTGCGACATTAAGAGTTGATGCTCCAGCAGGTGTTGCATCAGAGTCGCATCTTCCATATCCAAGTAAGCAACTCCCTGGGTCAGCACAATAGTCTTGGGTAGTTCCGCAGTATCCGGAAACTTGTGACAGATTAGTAAGTCAATTGGAGTCGTCGAGGCTCGTCTACTCACCACTACAGCATTGGTTTCCTCCACAAGTTGCACCACCAAAGTTTGGACCACAAGTTCCTCCTGTGGCTGGCTCGGCAGCAGCAGTGGTGCAAGCTCCAAATTTAGACTGACACCCTACGTCGCAATAATCTGTTGTGTTTCCACAATATCCCGACGTAGAACAGCAAAGTCCTCCAGTACAAGAAAGCCCTCCATTGCTCGCTCCGCATGTGAAAGTGTTCTCTGACGGTTGGACAGTTGTTCCGGTACAAGTTCCAAAGGCAGTTTGGCAACCAGTTTCGCAGTAGTCTAGGTAAGCACGAATTAGTCTGTGAACTATGTGCAAGTTATTCAGAGATTTGCCAACATACCAGTTGTGTTTCCACAATATCCATAGGCCGAACAGCATCCTCCAGTGTTTACAGTAGCGTCACAAGAATAGCTATTGTTTGCTCCTGCGAATGAATTTCCGCAAGTGTTGTCTGTACTTATTGTGGCTCGTTTGGAAAGGAAGGCAAGAAAGCCAGGGTCTTGGGAGTCAGTTCCCTCCACTGGAAACGCAAGACCCATACCACTGAGCATAAAGCCCGTGGCCAGAGTTAAAAAGAATGATTTCATCTTGGTCGTTAATAAATTACAAAATAGTCTGTTGGAAAATGTATACTAAAAGAATTGAAGGAGATAATAAATGATTGGATATATTATGGAAATGGACGAAGAAGAAAGAATGTCAGTTCAAAAAAGAATGTCAACGACCTGATATGCCGGAGTAGGGGTGAGGAGGAAGGAAAAATAAAAGACAATGACGAGAAGCAAGATATATATAACATTACCATTCCACGGGTCGACACATCAGAAAATGACCCGACATATCATTAGCAAGCTACAAGAAAATACTACATAAGACGCCGTCTGTTCTTTGACTACGATTTTTGGGGATATTTACATGCATCTATGAATTGATTCCCAGAATTATCACCAATGTTTGTGGCCAAGGAGGACATGGCGTTGTTAGGCGTCGTCCCGTCTTCTTGGAAAGAGTCCGTGGAACCAGATCAAAAGTTCCGATCGGAACGTTTCATGAATTTCATTCGTCGAATATTTCTGAAACTTGATTCTATGAAGGCAAATGGATTAAAATTTAAGGGGTAATGACGGGAGCTTTAAATTGGTGGGGAAGCCTATCTCTTTTCAGCAAAACTTATTAATAGTGTTTATGCGCAGTCACTATTTCTCTTGAGATCTTCGTCCCAACTTCAACAAAGGAGAGGAGAAAATTCGAGTCAATCGTTTCTTGAGGTCTAGATTCCATATACGTACATATGACCTGGCAAGTGACAGGTTTTTCCAAATACCTGCTTACCTATGAGAAGAGGTTGTCGCTCTCGGCCCTAGATAAATTTCTGCACAGTCTTCAAAAATAAATTCATCTGAACTCAGAAGGGGTCAAAGCATAATGAAAAATATCTTTATTCAATTTTATCTCTAATTTATATCCCTTCGCCCAAGTCCAAAAGAATGTGCCTAATCGTAATCATTAACTCGTCAATCTCTCAAATCATCATTCGTCCATCTTTTTTCCGTCATTCGTCATTCATCCATTACTAGTCATCATTTCCAAGTCGTCTATTGTCCAAATCAAGCCTGAGCTCGTTCATCAGTTATCATCCTCCGTTCAGTGCAGGGGCTGATCGAAGAACTCAAGATATCGAGGGGCTCTCTATGCCTAATTTATTGGTGTTAGCTTAATTTATGATCAATTGTTACTGAGGGAAGTTTATAAGGCTTACCTGGCAAGCATAGTCGGTGTAGCATTGCTCATCAACCTTTGGCTCATACAAGACAAATCTTGTAAGACGGACACAGGTCAAGGCGGTGGTAGAGGTGCTGACAGTAGCGCTACCAACAGTAGCACCTGACTTGGCGATGTAAGCATCCTCGCCAATGACAACAGTTGCCTTGAATGGAGTAGTGGCTTTCCAAGTTCCATCTTCGTAGTCAATGGAGTCAGAAGTGCTGAGGACGGCTGTCTTGCTTGGGGTCTGGCCAGCGAGAGACAAAGACTTGGTTGGGTAGTAGTCGATCTCAGCGTAGGCTGCGAAGGTAATGTTGTTGAAGCAGTTAACGAGGTAGTAGATCTGGGTAGAGGCGGCGCGGGCATCGATGGCTGCTGCTGGAATTGCAGCTGGAGCGGCCGAGGTAAGGGTGGAGAGGACGAGGAGGGGAATGGAAGCAATCATGGAGAAACGCATTTTGATGGCTGGTTTGAGAGACTCGAGGAGTGAAAAGTTTGAGAAGGGTTTGTAAGTTGTTGTAGAAGATCTTTGAGATGATTGAAGTGTTGTGATGATGGGAATTACTCTGCTGATGAAGCCTTCTTATATACTTTCTTTTCGTAGGAAGATCGATGGATCTCTGAGAAGCTTTTCTCGACTAAGCTTTCCCTATGCATCGCTGACCGCAAACGGCCCATGTATCACGATCGTGGATACAATGATACATCATCTCTGTGAATGGCTTTCTTTTCTCAAGCCACTATACAACATACGACACGATTCGAGACATTTGCATCAATCAATATTTACTGGGTCTCAATATCGTCTTTGGCGCCAAAACGTTCTTCTCGTGTCGGATACCCACTGAATCAGCCATGAAGATTCTACTGATAACGACTTTTCAGTAGCTCAGAAGCGATTCCTCTGGACCACGATCGAATCACGGTTGTCCCATGTACAGAAAGAAAGAGGCACAGTCTAGTTGATGATTGAGCAGACAGTGGTCCCGATAATCATTCTCAATATTTTCTTACATCATGTCGATATCTTCCAAACGGGCTAGATCGTCTTACCATCCCAGTTCTTCCGTATTATTCCACCAAACAGAAAGCAACTTTCAATATCTTCAGCCATTGATGCCCTGTACCTGTAGGTCATCGATATTTATGCAGGGTCGGAATGTACCTATATCAGGCTAAGCGATGCCCCACTGAACAAGCATATATAAAGGCTTCCGGATCTGCAAGTCGATCGTAACGGCGATGCAGACCACATTCGTATGAACATATGAAGAAAGATCTCCGAGGTTGATCTGTTGGCTGTCAAATTCGTCAAGGGTCTTGATTAAAGTGTGAAAATCTCTGCCAACGCGGGTCAGGCCCATACTTCCGAACCATTTTTTTTATCGAGGCGGTCAAAGCTCCATGTCATCGATGAGAGAAACTTCATGCTTATTACAAACTTTGATCTGTGATCTTCGATACCGTCAACCCGGTGGACCAAAATCTGTTCTTACGAACTCAGAAAAACCGGTAAGGTTCCGAAACCCCCACAATTGTGATCATGGATCGTACGGCAACCAAATTGAACCCTACCATCTGCGAGATATCATGATCATACTCAGCTGAAAATCGTCAAAAATCTCTTGTTTTTACAAGCATGTGAAAACCAGGTATAGATTTGCTATCCAAAAAGGCAGGTATGGATGACCTATCTCGTGGCGTTAAAGAGCAAATCAATAGCAGCTGAGATACATACATGTCGCCTGGCGCCGTAATTCTACATCGGATCTAGTCGGACACGATTGAATCTATACAAATCCCTCACCGCGTGTAGCATGTATCTTTAGAAGACATTGGAACTCAGTCTAGATCTCAATCCATAAATTCGTATCATATATTCAAGTCAGATTCTGGACACGTTAACTCGTGTATGTGATGCCAATGTGGACATGCACAGAGAAATGTCACTACCTCGGCTTCGTGTTGTGCAAGTGGATACCATGTCCGAAGAGTTTTCCATTGCAACTACATCTTTTTTGTGAAGTATTGCATATTCCAAATTAACATCCATCTTTTCCATCTATGTTGGCAATCTTGACTGCCCGTCGATACAGTGATACGATATCGTTTTGTTTTCACGGAGCAGTTTCGGGGTTTCGGTCTCTGCTTTGTGCGTGAAAATGGAATGATCGATGTTTTGTTCTTTCAATGTGTACTTTGATTCACCAGTCAGCTCTATACCTGCTTTGTTACGGTATGTCCAGAACTTCTGAACATGCCGCGATGAGTCCCATTCCTTGCCAGTAAGGCATCGGTTTTGACTTCAACTCTTCCTCTACCAAAGCAGACATCTCCAGCAATTGAAAGGCAATGCTAAAGCTTGCATTTAGCTTTAAGAGACAGCAATCTTTAATCATGATCTACAATATTCCAGGAGAGACGTTTAATTATATCTGCAGGCCGTTGAAATCGATACCCACGATGTAACATCCAAGAAGTCTTAGTACTCCTCCTAGCTCGTCGGGTTGAAATTTGGTGCTTACATCTAATCATATCTTTAGATCTGGATACGACACCATCGCGGACAGGAACCAATTTCACCCCACAGTTAGTGTGCTACCCGTTGTAGCATCAGACGGCACGGCAGAACCATTACACTGGGAAAAGATCGAGATAACAAGCAGGGGATTTTTGATGGTGCTACTATGGCAGTCAAGTAGGATGGGGAGGAGCGGCTCGGACGGACTATGCTTGAAAGATGAAGATGCGGTAGAGAGCCTTTTAAATACTCAAGTTCTATAGCGGTAGTCATTTAGGGTTATCGTGTTTTGCTACTTTCAATTTTGAAGATAGAATACACACCAATGGTACAAAAATCATGATTTGCATGGCTCAAGTTATTGAACAGTCTGCAACTTCCCGTATCAGCCGAATTTACACTGAGTAGAAACTTACCAAAGTTTGCAACCTGAATATATAGCAATTCTATTTCAGATTGAAAAAATAATCCATTCCTGCCATCGAATAGCACTCAGGCTCTCATGAGAATTTAGTGAATTGGCTGTACCATCAAGCAGGAACTTCACAAATTCAGTAACTAGAATAACTTGACAAGCACAATAGGCATAATAACTACACATATTCGATCATCATCTTCAATCTCTTTGCATTGCTCTTGTGTGGATTGTTGTGTTTAGATAATTATTCAAAGTTCGTGAGTGTCGTAAATCCGGTTGCTGGCACGCCTTCCAAGAGGGCTGAAGGCTATTTGTTGGGCAAAAAGCTTTTGGATCGGCTATATATTTTCACATTTGTTAGGCACAAAGGAATAGTATTTAGATCGGAAGATCCGAAGAAGTGATCTCAATCTATGAAATCTATACTCTATACGGCTTGGTTATGTCATTCAAGTAAAGTTCTATGTTAATTCGAGAAAAATACCCAGTTTATATTGATGCAGAACTAACTAGGTGTATAAAATACGAAAGAAAAAAAGCAATTTATCTTTGCCGAATGTCTGGACTGTACTCTACAAGAATTCAGAAATAAGAACGATACATTTAGAAGTTACAAATCAAACAGTAAAAATCAAACAGTAAAACCAAACAGCAAGAATTATAAACATTAAAAATTACAAATTAAAAATTATCAAAAACACATGTAGAAATACAGGATATCGCTAGGCCACCAGAACGTAGCATACAAGAACATACAAAAGAAAAATACAAATGCCAAATTGGCTACAAAGTTAATAACATAGTACAGTACAGACCATTCGCTACGCTAAACGGTGTCTTGAACTCTCCTCATCTCCTTCACATACCGATATAGCACGATATTAACCGTAGCGCGGGCTAGAGACTCAGAGACAAGACAACCGTTTATAAAGGGACAAGGTCAAACAAAACCATATCATCCGCTAGCAAGGCTTCTTCAAGCCTAGTATAAAGAGACGAGAAGGGAGTCGAAGTAGGAGGTAAAGGAGGAGATGAAGGTGGAGTCGGAGTGGTAGCAGAAGCGGCAACTTCAGGAGAATCATGAAATTCACCGTCATAGAGTTCCTTATCCTCAGAAGGGCTGGAATACTCATGGAATTGCCGGTTCTCACCATTGATAGCCGACCCACCGACATCAGGATTAGAGGGACCAGAAGCGTAGAGAGCCGACGAAGGGCTGGCCAAGTGACAGCGTGGAGGGGCGACGAAATCAGGCCCAATCTCACCCGCAAAATCGGGAAAAGGAAGGGCTTGGTCAAATTGACCGACATCCATGCGTCTTTTGGCGGCTGGACCTTCTACAGCGTCTCCTTCGACTGGCAGCTCCCTCTTTTCCTTCTTTCTTCCACTACAAGAACCACAACAGCCAAGTATCATGTCCCCAATGGTCCTCTTGGGGAGATACTTTATTGAGCCTACGCTTACAAACCATTTGTCCCTGCCAAAGTGGCCAGACAAATGATTCTCTGCGAAGAGAGCCCAAAACTTCTCGGCTGGTACTACTTCCTTCCATTCCACCTTGCTTTTATCTTCCCCTTTTGCAAAGTACTTCTCCTTGAGTACGCCATCATTAAGGTCGTGGTCGTGCTTCAAGGAATTCTTATACGATGCCGGAGTTCCCTTGTAGCCCTCCGGTACGTCCAAAATGACGCCGGGGTCAGCGGCAATTGCTGTCTTGTCCCGGATCATCCTTTCCAGTCGCGACCGCGATGGCAGGAGCGAATTGGGATCCTTCGTCTTTTTATCTTTGACGAAAGATCTGATCAATTCATCCCTCCATGCTGGGAAGGACAATGTACTGAGGTCTAACAAGGGGTTGGGGTCGATGAAATTTATAGCGTCAATGTGCTGAGTAAAAATGAACCTTCGCTCTTCTGGGGAAAGATTTGAGGTCATCTATTTGATATTAGCAATTATCCCGATCCATGTAGTACATTTAAAAGACTTGGGTGCTTGAACAATCTGGTAGAATTCAGACAATGAAACCTTCTAATTGTCGACCTGTGACCCGGACAATTGAAGTCTTTTAATGTCTGACAGTAACAAAATAATCAAAATGAGTTTATTGTTTCGAGTTGTTTCAATCGTCTAAAAGAGTTTAAAGAATGAGAGCTTCAAATTGTCGGATTACAATCTGAACAATTGAAAGCCTTAAACATCTGATAATAATATAATGTTCAAAATGAGTTCTGAAAACGAGAGCTACAACGTATAGTTGAGAGCCTTGCATTATGTCGTTTGGTTCTAAGCATTCAACTACTACAATCAACTACAGCATGAGATATACACCCCATGTAGCAGAAGAATGGGTTGAACGGAGCGAATAGTAGCAAATAACAAGAATTCATTTCGCTATACAACACCAAAGTCTTCCAAGCACAGGTACATTTGTTTCATCCCCATTACAGTAATTCTTCTCATCGTATAACAAACAGACCATCGAACCATTTCAATTGCGCTCCTCGCCAGGAGGTCTCGCCTAATGTATCAAGCCTGAACCATCAGGCGTGAAAGCCAGAGGTCCAACTCGCGTAATGTACACCCATCCCCTGATGTACACGACGAAGTATGTTCTTGATGGGAATACATTATACAAGACAACATAGCAATTGAACAACTATACGAAGTGCGAAGTATGAAGTAAGAGTATACCATCAATGATCAAGTGATCTTACATAAGATTCCTAAGTTCAGCTTCCACTAAGGAACTAGACTAGAGGACTAGCGCGATCTACGTGATCATGTGTTATGCACGAATTTCCACCAAAAACTTCTAAAAAAGATTCAATGTAATCAAGATGTGCTTGAAGGCTACTCAGCCTGATGTGAAAGGCTGAGTATACCAGTGGGTGTACTGAGAACCTCCAAAAAGCCAACAATTGTGAAATAGTTACAAGCAAGCTGTGTACTGCTGAGCAACTCAAACCGACTTGAATGCATCTAAATAATCCAAAACGTTGCAATTTCTGTCCAAAAATTCAATTGTGAAGACACAAATGTATCAGAGAGCCAGGTTTCAAAGCTATTGTTCCACAAAAGTATGCAATAAAAGTGAAATGCATCAAATTGGAAGGAATATAGTGAAAAATGTGTCTTACTTTGTCTGAAATTATCCACCAGCTATATTACACTCTTAATCGATTCGGGAATTTGGCGATGGAAGGGTGAATTCGAAATTCGGGGTAACCTGAAGTGAATCATAAGCGACTGCCTCCAAATGAGTGGAATTGATAAAGAAGGAGCGATGTGGTTATTATTGGGCGGGAGAGTTCTTACCTTGGGCAGCTCGCGCAAGTAGCTGTTACGATAATAGTCGGTAGGATATTGCCTAAAGTGGGCAGAGTATGTGTATTGTACTTGAGATCTTAAAGTGAACGTGAGTATTGTTCTGGCAATTGAAGAATATTCGAGCTGGCTTTGCGAAGATGTTGGATACAACGTTAGAAAGAGAAAAAGAATCAAAACTGGGGGATGACATCCTTTTTAAAGTGAATTGAATATTTTGCGGGAGTACTATATTAGTCTAGAAGTTTGTATTATACTTTTTCAACCCGAATGAATATGTGGCATTTGGTATACATCATATTTTTTATGGCAGTCGTCGATCGTCGAGCTTGGGGGGTAAGCTAGTCTTTTTATGACAGGAACAGCATGGTATACATCGATTGCACCATCCAATGGCAGCTTCCCAGCAATGCTACAATAGCCTTTGGCCAGCGAACCTATGCAGGCCCACAAGCAAAGAAGGTACATACTGGTGTATGAGGAGGAGGGCATTAGCAGAGTAGAAAGATGGGGTATGTAGTGCTCATTACCAGCCTTCATCTCCTTTGATGATTTTCAAAACTGAGATCAGATTACCATTTGCTATAAATAACGTCCAAGAGCTCTCCGTACAGAGTATCGAAAGTTCTACGATGCCTCCGATCACCCACACACCTCTATGCCTACGATGCCTATAAACCAAAAACACAAATGGAAGAGAGATACAACACAACATCTTGTAAGGATTGGCTGAAAAACTCGTCTCGAGATATATCTGCGAACGATCAACACACGCCTGTATTGTTGGGAATATCATGTAGCATGTGACAATGGCTAAGTGAATGGCAATGCTTAGGAACTACTTCAGAACTACAATCACAGCAACAGCGAAGATGCATTAGACGGAAGATCGAGACGATTAACCATTCGATTAGCTACAAGATCTCTGCGAATTACAATTACACAAGAGAACGATGGCACATATCAATACAACAGTCAGTCGAACAGCGAGGCTTGAAGGGCACCCTCGAAGCACAATCGCACAGACAGGAAGCTAAATAGCTGAATACTCGCGATGATTAGACAAGAGACATGAAATAGCTTCATCATTACAAAATGGTTTATATAAAATCGTATACAATAGAACGTGTCGCCTATGTGCCTGTGTCTCTGGGGCTTTCTGTGCTGGTGATATCCATACACAACCGCTGCTTTTTCTCTGCAGACCGAAAATGTAACAGTTCTAGTCGAAAACAATCTCACAGTCGTAAAGCTCACAAGATGGTAACATATACCACCTTTTAATGTGCAAGTTTCGCAGAATTTCAATATTTCATGGGACTAACAATCTCACAACTACAGTGAATCGGTATCTATCCGTAAACCATCGAACACGCGTGGGAACAGAATCAGATGCTTCAGCTACCATGCACAAAACTTTTGAAAATGTTGATGATCAATGAACATCATCTAACTAATCCGACATGCTAATTCTGTAATTTCCTCTTCTCAGAATTATATCAATATATCATACAACTGAACTCAACTATGTGAGATACAATATTTCCAGGCGTGAGCATCTCCAGGCTTCCTACACTGTTAGGCTTCCACCTTCAAGCCTATACATCTCGATAGGCACCAACTGCACCTTCTCAGAAGCCCACAAGCCTATAAATCACTGAAGACCCCCTAAAGACCATCACACACACTCATCTGCCTGTGCACCCCCCGGCTAAGAAATTCTTCCGGGATCCGAATCGCTTGTTCTTGAATAAGTCTAAATTACTAGTGTCGCTAGTACATGAATTTGGTCTTCGACCATTGAAATTTTTTGGATGAAGATCATGAGATTTGTCGATATCGAGGCGTCATGATGAGCGCAGAGGGAAAAAGTCAATTTTCTACTTGTATTAGGTTAGGTGTCTTTATGACTTGAGCCATGCGATGCAGAATGGTTCATCCTCCGGTGTCGGTTGAAAGGCGGAGAATGTCGGAGAGTGGTAGAGAATGGAGGTAAAGGATAGATGTAAAGAGAAGAGAGTAGAGAGTAGAGGTAGAGAGTAGAGGTAGAGAGTAGAGGCAGAGAGTAGAGGCAGAGAGTAGAGATAGAGAGTAGAGATGGAGAGTAGAGATGGAGAGTAGATTTCTAATAATAAGTAGAAATATAACAGGTACAAACCGATCACAAATATGAACACGGAACCAAATCGACGAGACACACATCATTACATTCATCAACACAGGCTCAGTTGACCGATTTGAAATAATCTACTTTTGATGTTCAATTTGATACACCTTCTCACCCCTAAACTAACTGAACTCATCCTCTACAAGCAACAATAATAACCATATACTTCAGAGCCCGAGTCTGTCTGCTACAATTCAAATCACGAGTGGTGGGGGCGTGGCACACACACATGACTTGTTCTTATTCTCGACAAGGGGGCATGGATTTTTTCCGACTTCTACTAAGCTCGGTGTGTACACACAGACAAAACTGCGAAAAGAAAATTCTGCAATCTATTTGCACAAGGAACATATTCAGAACATGGAGAATATTGATGTTAAACGAAAAGATGGCATTCAATTAGACGACAGTTCTATTTGAACGAACATGAGCAATGGTTCAAAAGCTGGTTGTTTGTATTTCTACCTAAGACTGCCATTATTCTATCAAACTATTTACGAAATTACAACCTAGAGTACCATTTTGTTCTGCCTTTTCGAACGCGGAAATTGATCCAAAGTCGTAGATTTTGCAGTCGAGTGTTCTCGCTCATAACACTTGGCAACACCGCAGTGTTCGATTTCATGATTGATGAGCTTGATTGTATTTATTCGCTATCCGAATCCAACTGCATTGTAAGATGCACACTGCCATCTGAATCCGAGTCCGACTCTTCAGCTTCATCGTAGCTCATAGCAGTATCCGTATTCATTGTACGCTGATCTAAAGGTTGAGGGTTGGTAAATCTGGCGCCTGGAATTTCTGAAGACGTGGCAGATTGTTCAAACCCTGATTGTCTTGGCAGATCTTCACGGCTACCGGCATTCAATCCAGCACCAAAATTCTCTCTCAGCGGGGTCGGAAATTCGTTTTCTGAAGTTGACTGAAGATTTTGTGCATCAACATTTTTTTGGCTGACAACGACATCATCAGTACTATCCATAACATCATCTTCGGCATCGAAACTTTCTGGAAGATCATCGAGTACTGCGGTGGTATGTCCAGCAGGTATGATTGGCATGCGGGGGCGTAGAAGAATTTCCACACAATCATCATCTGGAAATGCCCTCGTAATATGTGGGAGTACACTCGACAATGCTTTTCCATTCTTTCCGACAAATGGATTGAGTATGCTTGCTAACATTGCTTCTTTATTCCGTCCGAGGATAGCAGTTCGCTCGAGTTGAGAACGCATCGATATATCAAGATATGCCTGGGGAAGGTTTGACAGTAATACAGGCAAAAGAGAACTGGCCGCGGCAACAACTTCTGGGTCAACAACGACAATTGCCGATATGGAGCCGCGAAGTAAAGTATCTGCATTCTGACTTGACGAACCTTTAGGTTGAGACTTACTGGCTTCAGGGTTGCTGATGCCCGAATAACTTGTCTCCAGATCTTTACA